AATAACAAAAATTGTTATTACCTTAATTATAATTTAATACTTAATAATTTTTCGACGAAAGGAATATAATACGGAGACGGAGGGGTGAGATATAATATATAAATATGCTTTTTAATTTAGCTTCGGCTACTACTTATGTCTTTCAGTTTTGGTATGCATAAATAGACACTAAGTTTGTATAAAATTGAATAAGTAGACACATGCATTCTACGTGGCATAATACACGTAGAACTCCACGTAGGACATAAATTGTCATGTAGGACACATGCGTCTATTTGTTCAATTTTATGCAAATTAAAGTGTCTACTTTTGCACACCCAAAGTTGGAAGACACATATGTCAGCGGAAACCAAGTTAAATGGCACGTTTATGTATTATGCAATAAGACATCATTGTGCTAAAATGAAGTTGTTTTTTGCCAATAAATAGTTATGTGATGTTTCAAGTCGAGGGCCTATTATAAATAACATTTCTATCCCACAAATATATATAGGAATAAAGTCGACATATATCTTTCCCTCTAGTCCTCAGTCACTGTGGTTTATTGTTGTTAATAATATACCAAAGGCAAATCTAATACCCTTCCAATTGCAATAACTTATGATATTATCATGAAGAAAAATTCCATAGCCACCTATAAGCTAATATGGTCAAAGAGGCATCAAACTCAAAGAGCAAGTGGCACTAATATAAGCTTAATTGATGCTATTTTTTCCTAATTATGATCATGATTTAGAGTTAAGCCAGTAATGGTCCAAAACGAATACTTTATAGGTGTAAAGTTAGTTGTGAGTCAGAAAGTGACCATTTTCATGGATTATTAATTCTTGATTTGAAGAAAATTATCTTTTCTACCTAATGTCTAATTGGAATCATTTTATGAAAGCTAAAGCATATCTATCCCTATGATATAGACTCATCAAAGGATTGGAGAACATATTTAGTGGAAATCCAAATATAGATCTTTAATTTGTTGACCTAGTAAAAAACTATTTCTTACCTCGATTGTGCATAAATTTTAAGAAAGAAAGATTTTTTTTATTCAGGTTGACGATTTATCCCCCATCCCTAATATGGGGTCTGCTTTAACTCCAATCGTTATCATAATACTAACACCAATATTTGTTTTCTACGAACATAATTTGGGGGTGCATGTTGTTTCCTCACCTTCAGGGGAGAATTTACCTTATGTGGAAGGATATCATGTGACACTACTTCATCGATTTTTTTTATTAAATACATGTGCATAATTACGATACCTTCACTTGAGAAAATGGTCAAATGCCCCCCTAACCTACATTCGAAATTTCAACTACACACTTCAATTTTACGGGGATCCTATCACCCCCATGAACTTTTTAAAATTGAAAGTACTATCTCCCTAAACGCTTACTTGGCAAAGTGAGTGTATCAAAGAGAGTGAAGAACAAACACAAATATTAAAATATTATTTCATATTTTTTTCATAAATATATGTATTTTTATTTCTTAATCCTTTTCTTCCTAATTGTTTTTATCTCTTTTAATTTGTTTTCTTCTTCATAGCAACCTGATACAACATATATGGCAAGCATCAAATTTCATCACCATTTTGAAATCATCGCCAACACTACGTCAATCATACACCACAAATCGTATTAGCAATTTCACCCACCAGTTTCCACAATCAAGAATTATGTACCAAAAATATTTCAAATCAAAGAAAAATTAAGCTTGAATAAGGATACCCAATTGTTTTTCTTCAATAAACTTAAAATATTAAGAAATTTTTTCATCCTATATTCAATACTCAACAGACCCATAGAAATTTTCCTCAACTGATTTTAATAACTGGTCATTTTCTACAAATCTAAGAAAACGTAACACCCGTTCTTCATCTTCTTCGCCCCGTTGCTCTAAAAATTTGATGTAAAATCACCTAAATTCTTCTCAAAATCACCCATAAATTCTGAATATAAGCTTTTCTTGACATTTCGATTCCTTTGATATAATACCCACTCAAAATGGAGCTCGTTTGAGGCAAATCGAATTTCGAACTCAAGTTTTTGAACTATTTTTAATGGAGGTTTCAAGTTGGTGCTTCACATTTTAAACTATGAGCTTCAGTTTTCTGTCATACAGAACTCTTCCAACCATCAATGAAAGCTGCTCCCAAATCACGAATATAGATCCAATAATTTCATAGAAAAGCTCATCGATTACTATGGAGTTTCGGCTATTCTTCAAATCTAAAAATCTTAGCCATGAACTCAGTCAAACTCAACATGCTTAGCTTCAAATAATTACCAACTTCTATGTTATCAACAAGTTCCAAATTTGAAGATCCAAAATACATCCATAAATTTTGGCATTGTGACCTTTAACTAGACAATAAATCAGAAAGGAAAAAGAATAATTTTTAAAAATAAATAAATTTCCACCTGTCAGGCACATGAGTTTCACCTGCCAGCATAAATGTGGTTGTGATGTTTTAAGGGTGTAATAATATCAAACTTAAAAAGTTCAAGGGGGAGATAGAACCCCCGTAAATTTGAAGGTGTGTAGCTGAAAATCTGAATATAGATTAGGAGGGCATTTGACCATTTTCTCCCTTTACTTTGATTTTTAAGTAAAAAAAATTCTCAGAGGCAAAATATCTGAAGTACCATACTATAAATATTGCGATAAGATGATATGAGACTGCTTAAAGAAGGAAATTGTTGCCTTTTTAGTGTTTTTTTTTAAAAAAAAAATTGTACCGTTATGCACTAGACTGACATGTCTAGTGGCCTTATATTAATGATAAATTAAACATTTGTCATCAAGAATAATAACAATCAAAGAGGGCTAAGTATGATTATCAATCCTAATGAAGTAACAAATATCTATTGATTAACATTATTGCTTTTTTAGTTATGTAGTTGAATGCTATGTCTTTTTCTCTTTTGACAAAAAAAATATTCATTGATTTGTGAAATTAAATGAATGACGATTTTTTTATTGATCAGTTAGTGCCTTATATAGAAAAAGTGTTTAGTGTAATTTTTAATGAGGTTATTTTGAATATATTCAAATAAATGAAATTTCATCGAGGAGAATTATAGTAATATACACAAGTTGCTTTATTTATATTATGTTCTCGTTTTATGTTTTATTAATTTATTTTTATTTTAAATCATAACACCCCTTACAATATTTTTTTGGCATACGTCACTGCTTATCATGGACTCAAATTGTTCCTGGTTATGACAACGACTGTTGTAAAAAATAGCAGAAGAAAAGTATAATTGGAGAGACCTTTTGCTAGTTCAATATCGTTAAGTAGGATTAGGAGATTCAACTAAAGAAGAAGGAAGATGTTGGATTGGATAACTTGGTTATGGAGAAAACTTATTGTATTATTTGAATTGGATTGATTTGGTCAAGTTACAAATGATTAAGATCACCCTATTTATATTTGCGTAGGGATAATTCTATACACTGTTCTAGATACATCTACAAAAACAATGTAGATAACTTTATCTTTTTGCTATCTAAGAGTTACCTAGAACTTCAAGACCTATCTTTAAGATAAGTTGTAGTTCCAAAAATAAACTTTATTATTTTTCACATTCCTGCGTAAAGTGATTATTTTGAAAAGACTATCCCAGGTTTGTCGCAGCAAAACTCAAACGAAGCTCTGAACCGTGCCTTGGAGAAAATCACAATAATTTTTTTCTAACTCTTCTTGCTTTCTTCAACGATGAAAATTTTCCATCGATCGATTGAAGGCAAAGAAACAAGAAAATGAATTGACAAAATTTTCATCTTTATATCTAGTTGTCTTGACAATAGTCTTTTTAGGCTTTGCTAACCATGTAAATCATCTTTGTCTTGAATTTCATTCTCTTGAGTTTTCAGGTTCGTCCTTTCTCTTAGATCCTCAACAATTGTATTATATGGAGACACACCTATAAAAGAAAAGTTTGAAACTTCAAAGTTCAATATTTTAGAATACACTCCTTCGGATGCAACTCCATAATTATAGTTGTTAAAAAGAGTCGGCCCAGCCCAAGCCTCGCGGGCCAAGGAATTTGATGGGCTAGGGCGGACCGGCCCGTCATTTGGAAGGGCCTGAAAATGTTCAATCCAATCCAGCCCTAGAAAGGTCGAGGGCTGGGGCGGGCTAGCCCTTCTTTTTTTTTCTTTCCAAACTTAAAATTTTATAATATAAAAAAAAAAAAAAAGATTTTCAAATCAAATATGAAAACAATGGTGTTGTTTCAATAACACTAGCAAAAATCTAGTGTGATTAGCATGTATCTAGGATACTAGATACGCGAGATACATGTATCTAGTGTGATGCATCCCATATACGCGAACGAGATGAGAGGGAAGCGAGGGTGTGGGATTTGTCTACGTATCTTAGATACATGCGAATCCACTTGAATAGAGTGTATCTAGAATAAATTAACCTAATTTTGAGTACATATATTTGAGATACATGTATTTGGAAGTACCAAAATCTGGTATTCGTAATTTTACAACATAATGTGCATTTAAGTAATTAACTTAATTATATACTAGTGCGATTGTTCTAAATTACCCTTAAATAAATAGCTTTAGATCATGGGCCGACCACCGGCCCGGCCCTCATCAAGCCTCAGAGGCCAATGACTTATATGGGTTGGACTTATAAACCTTAATTTCAAATGGGCTTAAAGAATACTATCCCAACCTTTACCCAATAAGGGGTTGAGTTGGGCCGGCATCATGGGCTAAGTGCATTTTGACGAATCTATCCATAATACAAAGATGATTCATCATTATCAACTTTATTATCGGAGTTGGTGACGATTTGATCATCAATTTTATGCGAAATTGTAGCTAAATATTAAATAGTTTGAATAGGCTATTTGTGCAAATTATCCAAGTTAGTCTTACCATTGGGCCATCATTGAACATGGGCAGGCCCATTAGAGTTAGAGGAAAATTTGTTATTTTCAACTTAAGTAAAATCCCTTAACGCCCAGAAAAACCTTTTCGGTTCAGTAAACTTTTTTCAGCCCTTTGGAGTTTGCTCGAGGCTAGCGCCGGCGCCGTCACCTTGCCGGAAATTCAAGAATAGCAAGTGAATAAAAGCAATTTTCAGTTTCGGTGTGCCCAAAGAAGTTGTTCTGCAAGTCAGAATGGCCAAGCGTGAACTATCCGGTACCTTGAGGAACTTGAAGGTAAAAAAAAGAAGAAGAAGAAGTTAAATTTGGTGCCTTTAGTCTCTGTGAAATTGAATAAAGAAGAAATTTTGAACTGAGTTTTGTAGGTTTTTGATTCTTACATAGTTTTCTCAACTTGTTATTTAGCCCTTTTGTAAAATTTCGGTTCAGTTGAAGGTTTTTGCTAATTGTATACATGTAATTATGTGCTTATACATATATAATATATCTGCTGGGTATTATTAGTTTAAGCAGTTGGGCGAGCAGCTATTTAGGTTAATTCTTCAAAAAAAGATGTAGCTTTGATGAATTCATTGAATAGAGCAGAATGGGTATAAAACATTCATATAGCTGACACCAAATAGTGTATGGGATCGAGGCGTAATTGTTGTTGTGTTGTCTAAAGGATTTTGATGTTTTGTGATTGCAGTTTATGCAAAGGGCTTCTCTCAGAGAGGAAAAACCTAAGAAGGAAGAAGAAGTGGTACCTGATGGAAACTTCCCCTCCTCTAGTGCTCCCAAAAGATGGTAACTTTTCTCTTCAAAATTTCTATCTTCTTTTTTTAATTGATAAGAGTTGGCCCTAGGATATTACTAGTGTTGAGATTTGAGTTGTAACTTTAGTTGGATTACTATTGAAGTTTGTATACATTGAACTATGGAAGCATGACCACAATTATAATTCTAAAAGGCATTATTTACCTTTTGGAATCTTTTAATGAGGAATCATTCTCTGTTGAAATTGTCGTAGTTTTACCATAATGCCATCTTTAAGATATGAGGAATTGATATGAAAATAAAGAATATATAGAGAGAAAAGAAGGCTGGCCAAGAAAAAGAATGTACTGTGCTGATGTTATCATCCTCACTTCAACTAGCAAGCTCGTTTAAAAGGCATTAATTACCTTTGGAAATCTTTTAATGAGGAATCATTCTGTGTTGAAAATTGTCTTAGTTTTGCCATAATGCTGGCTTTAAGATATGAGGAATTTGTTACGATAATAAACAATATATAGAGAAAAAAGAAGGCTGGCCAAGATAGAATGTACCAAGCTGATGTTATAATTCGCACGTTAACTAGTCCCTTAAAATGGAGCCTCTTTATGCACTTTGTGTTAGAATTCTTTTTGTATCTTCATCTTGCTCACTTATGGCAACACACTTCTTTCCTACATATTCTGGGTCTGTCCTATACATCAACTACTGAGCTCAAGCGTTTTGATTGGTTAAATGTCGTGAAATGAATTAACTAGTGAAATGGCATCTTCAACACATTGGGATGGAAGACTTGAGTTACTACGACTAACATTGTGGCGTGAAATAAGAGCATACACCACTCTTTGTTTGCATTTTCTATTTTGAGACCAATGTTAGACTAGGATTACAACTTACTATTTCCTTGGACTGAGTCTAATTTGGATTTTGTTTAGAGCTGGATCAAGTTTAATACCACTGAAACTAGATCTCTCCTTCTAGCTAGTATCAAGTTTGCTGCCCAGATGTAGGCTGCTCCAGAGCACTATCTTTTTAAGGGTACATAAAGGAGTAACTTAGTAAATTATATCACGAAAAATGTATTCTTTCTTTGCAGTGCTCGAATAGTACTAGAATGGAAGATCTATTATGTTTCGGTTTCTCAGATACGATCTTTGATATGTAGAGAAAAGTTGACTTCGTATAACTTTTCCTGTAAATGGTTGTCAGCATTTAGAACTAATAAAATCTCACTTTATTCTAGCTGAATTACATCCGCACTCAACCCTTTTCGGGGAATGGTTGCAATCACAAGCAAGTGATTTTTGAGTGGTCCTCTCTAAGGCTATCTTAGACTAAGCTTCTTTTTTCTCACTAGCATTTAGATATTTTATAAGGGTATATTGGATGTTATTAATGTAAATTTTAGTCAGCTTTGAGAGCCTAATGCAAAAAAGTACTCCCTCCGCCTCCTTCCCAATTTAGTGTCTTACTTTCCTTTTTGGTCTATCCCAAAAAGAGTGTCATTTTATATTTATTAAGTTTTCTAATTCCAACATTCGACATGACAAGCTTAAGACCACACAATTTATAAGACTATACACATCTTTAATTTAAGACCATAAGATTCAAAAGTCTCCCTTTGGTTCTTAAACTCGTGCCCAATCAAATTAAGACACTTAAATTGAGACCAAGGAAGTAATTTTGGGGAATTTATTTTATAATAATCTTTTTTTACAAATTTGAAGCTTAATGGAATCTATTTCTCACACTGTGATATTGTGCTGTGGTTCAAATTAAATATTGACTATTGTGTCCGCTACAAAAATTAGTTCATCATGTCAGTTATAGGTTTCGAGGGGAGGGTGACGAGGGGAGGCCGTGTTGTTCTTATTCAGAAGGACGACTTATTATATTAATTCCATATTTGCTGTTGTTTTAAACAAATACTTTTTCCTCAGAATTTTCTTTATTTCCTTTTCACATTCAGTGTTATCATTATGGAAGGAAATCCGCACCCTGGGGCTATAAAAGGTCGGATGTCTTTTCAAGGTTTTAATCCTTCTATTGATGTGAGTATATGGTTTGCATGACGTAAAGTACTTTCTGAAGACTGTTCAGTTTCTTTTCTCCTGTGGTTTGTAATCATGTCTCACGAAAAACTTGTCTTGGTAGAAATTGAGTGAAGAAGCTTCAAAACCACGCCCTGAAGGTTCTGCTGCTGCTGCTGCTTGTTCTTCGGAGACAAGTGAACGGATTACTAAAAGGTCAGTTTGAAGTTTTCATTGTGTCCTTTCCTATTTTGTGCTTATTGTTATGCACTAAGGTCTAAGCTTGTGGGCCATTACTCCTAGTACACACCATCTTGGCTTTATTGTTTCACATCTGATTCATTCGTACGCAAAAGCTTTACTTCCTCCTAGTGTATTGTTGAGATGAATATATGTTGAAAGTCCTTCTTACTGATGTCTTTGGTTCTATAGAGAGATAATTGGTGATATATTGTATAAGATCTCTACAGTGAGGTATGAAAGATCGCATAAAGAAATTCAATTACGTTTAAGGATTAACACAATTTATAAATCAAATGGTCAAAATAGTCTTAAGAGATGTAAAGTACCGAGTACGATGGCATCTTTTGTCCCAATGATTGCATTGATTTCTTGATTGCTATATATTTTACTCCCTCTGTTCCATTTTATGTGACAACATTTTCGTTTTTTTCAGTCTGTCGGACAAAAAGAATGATACATTTCTATATTTTGAAAAACTCATCTTTGAACATTTCACGTTACCTTTATTAAGATGATTTATAGTCACACAAATCTCTATGGTTTGTTTAGATCACAAATTTCTGAAGTCTTCCTTTCTTCCTGAACTCCATGCCAAGTCAAATAATATTGTCACATAAAATGAAAGAGGGAGTATATAAGATTTGGTGCATTTCAATAATTTGCAAGTCCTACATACGTTGAATATCTTGTTTAAGCATTTCACTTGTCTTTCGAGTCGAGTTGGAGTTCAGTTGTTATTTATACCAACTATTACTGTTAATTGCCACAGAGAAAATGGTACATCACAATATGGGTTGGAGAACTCTGATCTGGACGACTCTTATGACGACCCTAACGAAGATCTTAAATGGAAACAAGACAATACATCCTCTGATGCACAGTATTCAAACAAATCACATAAGAGAGTCCTGAACGATCCAGCCTCATCACCTAGTAGTAGCCAGAGATCCAAAATGCCACATAGACTTGACTGGAGTGTTCTCAAACCTCCGAAGTCGCAAAAGAGAAGACGGTAAGTGTAACTTAAAGGTGATTTTGTGTACTGAGTTAGAAAAAATTCTGTATTTTCAATTTATGTTGTGTAATGGTAACATAATTATATTTTCTCATTTGGAGTTACTTTGTATCAATTATATTAGCCTCTTTTACTTTTGGATTGTCATGATCCTCTGCCTCTGCTTACGAAAAAAATTCTGCCAGATTTGTTCTTTAGATGGTTGATTACGTGAACTTTCACACTTTGTCGGTGAGGATTTGATTTCCCAGATTGTAATCTCCTCTTGCATTTATCTTTTGCGTCCTTGTGAGATAAATTTCACTTCTTTCAATTTGGAATAGAAAACTATTAATACGTTTTATGGCATTGATCGTACTACTATAACTAGACTTGTACAACCTACAAGCATCGGTTTTTTTTTTTTTTTTTTTAAATTTTGGTTTTTCGGTTTTCGGTTCAGTTACAAGATTTAGTGTACCGAACACTGATCCAAATTAAGTTGGTACGGTTAAGTTTCGGTATATTAAATCTGAATTAATGGGCGTTTTCAGATTATAACATTTATTGGACTATTTAAAATTTTAAGTTTAAAAAAATTTGAAACAATATGTTAAAAGATAAAATTATGAAAACGTATATTAGTTTGGTTTGGTTTATAAATTTGAAATTTTGATGCAAAATGTTTGGTTTGATATTTGAAAAATTTGAACCAACTCGATTATGTATATCCCTACAAATACTTGTTAATTTTAAAAATTAAGAGATAATTAATAATTTTTTTAAAAAAAAATAATCCTAAGTATTAATTATTCTAGAATTAAGAGGTGTGTAAATAGATAAAGATTAAAGAATTAATAAAAAATATAAATAGTCAAATTAATTTTTTCTTGAAGATTGTGTAAAATTTTATCCTAAGAAGTCATGCTAAAAATTGTGTATGCGAATGTAGGTATTTGATAAGATTGTACAAAGAACTGAGATAATTTTAATGGTTTAACAACTTATGGAGTTTCTATGTTATGAGAAAACATACAACATAAAGGGGCCATTTGGTTACAGTATAAGATGACACATTATTCATGTATAAAACTTTGTATTAGTTTTACTATGTTTGGTAAAAGTTTTTATTAGGTTGAAAAGTCAACATGATTTATACTATGTTTGGTTGATAATATCTAAACATTGTATAAAAGTTATTCATGTACTCCCTCCGTTTCACAAAGAATGACCTAGTTGACTTGATACGGAGTTTAAGAAAATAAAGAAGACTTTTGAATCTTGTGATCCTAAATTAAAGTTATGTCAAATGTACAAAATTTCCCTTTAATCTTGTGGCTTAAACATGTCACGTGGAAAGCTGAAATTATAATGTTACCAAAAAAAGAAAGAGGTCATTCTTTTTGAAACAGACTAAAAATGAAAGGAGATCATTCTTTTTGAAACGAAGGGAGTATTTACAAAATTACGCTTTAATCTTGTGGCTTAAACATGTCACGTGGAAAGCTGAAATTATAATGTTACCAAAAAAAGAAAGAGGTCATTCTTTTTGAAACATACTAAAAATGAAAGGAGGTCATTCTTTTTGAAACGAAGGGAGTATTAATTTATACAGTGTTTGGTTGCGTTTTTTGTAATCCTACATAATTAATACCTATATAACTTATGAGGGAATCTATGTAGAAGTTATGCATGATAGAAGGTAGAATAAGTTATGTGGGTATTAGTTATACATGTATTAAAAAGATAAATTACACATTTATCCCTATTAATTTATTTTTAAATCTCTTTTTATTGAAAACGTTACATAACTATTATATTTTCCCAACTATTTTTGTTTCTTATTTCTTTTCGTATACAAACGACTTTTTATTTGTTTTCATTTAAAATAAAAATAAAAATATTTATTAATATTATGAATAGGAATGTATAATTTTGATAGCGCATATGCTAATTATATATTCGCATTATATATTACTAACTATATCCACATATTTAATTATCATGAATTAATTTTTTATTTAGAATGTGAATTTATATATAATTTATATATTTGGTATCCTAAAAATATACAAACAACACATGCATAATATTGATAGAAATTTATATTATATAAAATAGGATAGTATAATGTACTTGAAATATATTAATAGTATTTTATTTTTATAAGCTTTAAACATTAAAAAAAAAACAAAGAGAAAAAAAACACAGAATTCCTAGTTAAGTATAGAGAAAATTCCTTTCTTTATTCAAGGGAGAGTTTATACTATTTGCTTACTTATTTTATTTGTAAATAATATATATTAATTTATATTAAAATCAATATTCAATAGTTAATAATTCATGTAATGTAATCTCTACGTAACTAAATAACGCCTACATAACTAATACTCGCATAACTAATACCCATATAGCTAAATCCTACATAATTAAACCTTGCATAACTAATACCTGCATAACTAAACCCTGCATAACTAAATTCTGCATAACTAATACCCACATAACTAAACCCTGCATAACTAATACCTGCATAACTCTAACCAGTAACCAAACAGCCCCAAAATGTTCAAATCGCATATCCAAACAAAACTTCGACTTCTATCTCATGATTTCATATTGCAAGGCTATACGGGCCCTTCGTATCATAGTAATTTCACTGGTTCACGTCACCAGAAACCTGATTCACAAGTCAATCATCAAAACCATTAATATTTAGAGAGAATTACATGTTCAGCAACTCCTATGTAGAGGAATCCAGCAAGAGCTAGCACAAATGATCCTATCTTTCCATCCCTGCACCATCCAATTACCATCCTCATACAACACAAAATCTCTGTGGTACCCTGCCTCTACATTGTCCTTCAATGTTTTCATGACTTCTTGGTTCAATGGAAGAATCTTGAATCCAGCCCTCACGTTGCGGACTTGCCATTGCTCGTACGTCTCAGGCCTCTCTACCCTCTCAGCACCCTCACAGGCTATGACATTCATCGCCTCACGCCTATAAAGTTCTTGTTCAAAATGCAGTCTTTGTTGATCATCTCGGGGTAATGTAGCATCAAACATATCGAATAGAGCTGAGTAGTGCAAGAGGGCTTCTTGGAAGCGAGTGACGAAGAAGGGGGAATTGTAAGATCCGTTAGTAACACCTTGCACGAAGATATCCGGATTCATCTTTTGAATTAAGCTCAGGACCGCATCCCTTGGACACTCTACATCCAATGTCTCATCCGATAAATTCTCAGAACGAAAAAGACAGTTCACAGCAACAAATTCACCACTTTCAAGTTTCAAGTCCTTGATTTCAATTCTCTCCCAATTTTGTATCACTATGGGATTATACTCGAATGGAACGTTAAAACGTTCACAGTATCTTGCCAAGAGACGACCTGTCTCTTCTAAGTGTTCTGCTTGCCTGAAGCCGGGTTGAGGAAGGTTTATTCCAGTAATGCGAAGCTTTGGAGGTCCACCAGGCATAACTGAGAGATGCTGGATGAGTATTGGCCATTGGAATCCATAAAGGATACCAAAATCTATGATATGTAGTGTTGTAGCGTTGCGTGCTGTGTGGAAGATCATTTTATTTGCGAAGGAGATTGATACTTTGATGAAAGGGCACGACGAAAGGTGAACGTGGTATGCTTTTAGATTGTCAGCAGTATCTGTCTTCCTCTTCGGTATAAGGGCAGCATATGGCAAGCTCATTGGCAGAGCCAGGAATTCTAACAAGAAGATTCAAGAAAAAAAAATATGTTAGGGGTGTGATGTCTAGGATTTCATTCTAAGCAGTTTTTTAACTAGAAGTACCTATGTGTCCAAGGAATTCAACATTTCCGGAGAGGGTAGATTGTACACAAATATAATCAGTGTAATCCCACAAGTGGGATCTGGAGAGGGTACACAAACCTTACTCCTAGCTCGTAGACATAGAGAGATTGTTTCTCTGGCTCAAGTAACGTATCTCAAAGCAGTTTGGAGAGGGGAATACAAAAATGAAAGTAGTAACAACAATGAAATAAAGCGCTAGGGGAAATGTAATATGATAACTGAAGATATGAAAACAATTGATAATTCTAAAATCGAAGAATACGATAGTAGGAAAGTAATAATAGCAATACTGATAAGGAGACTCAACAACGCTCAACTACCTACTAATCTTGTATCCTAATTCCTCGACTTCCACATTTTCCTATCTAGGGTCATGTCCTCAATAAATTGCAGGTATATCATGTTCTGTCTAATCACCTGTCTCCCAAGACTTCTTTCAGCCTACCTATACCCCTCCGTATAGCCACTATATCCAACCTCCCACACCTCCTCACTAGGGCAATCATCTATCCCCAAAACTTCGTTCCTCATTCTATCTCTCCTATCATGCTTACACATCCATCTCAACATCCTTATTTCTGCTACTCCCATTTTCCAAACGCGAGAGTTTTTGACCGGCCAACAATTTATAAATGTACATTAAAAAAATTACTCTTACCAATTGAACCCCTTTTAGACAATGTAGCTCCGCCCCTGGACAACCGAGCCTCGATGCCATCAGCAAATACACTAGCCAGCCTTTGATATGTGTCGCCGGTTGGTGAACTTTCTTGCCTTATCTGCTTCAGCATTTCACTTGCTGATTCTTGATCACCAGAAGCAACAAATTGTGCACAGCTAATTAACAGAGTCCTTAAATCCAAAGCTGCATTTTTAGGACTCTTTTCTACTTCAGATGAAATTTCAGAACTGATATCACAAGAGACTTTCTTAGCCTTAGCACATGTACACAAAAGAACCATATCAAATATTTCTGTTAACTCAACCTCCTCTGCATACTTTGCTGATTGCTTGTCGCTCCGTTCGTCTCTATCACAATGTGGTGGATTTAGAGGTTGATCGAAGCTAGATAAGACGATCTGATCCTCTAGTTTTGAGGTGTTTGCAGAATCAGGCGTCTTGTTGGATGGAGGATCCATAACATCAAAATCTACATTCAAGAAAGGAAAGGAAGGATGTTAGATACTTAACAATCAGCAGAGGATGTAGTGTATCACTACATCGGCTACAGGTTCAACTGAACTCAATATTATTGACACGGAATGATGGAACATATATATAGATATATATATGTGAAAAACTACTCAAGCGTCAATAAATATTAAATTATTATTAATGCACAAGTTTACAATGAGTATTAAAACCTTAAAGTTGAACTCTAAGTAAACAATCACCCTAGAGTTCTGATGTCTTTAAAAAAAGGCATAATATATAAAACATGACCCTACACATTCGTTCTACATGACAATTTTGTGTCCTACATGGCATCCTACTTGTATTAATTATGATATGTAGGACACGTGTGTCTACTTGCGCACACCCTAAGTTGAATGGCATAGTTGTCCGCTTAAGCCAAGTTAAGGGTCATGTTTATGTATTATGCCTTAAAAAACATGCACATTAATAACGTAGTTACAAATGTAAGAAACCAATTGCAAAAATTACAGAAAAAGGTGATGAATGAAGGACTCAAAACTGAAATAGGACATTGTAGAAAAAAACACTTGTACTACAAATCTATGTTTGCTCAGACTCTTCAAAAGTAATTGCGGCAATATCTTTGGAGAATCTGAGTAACTTAGCTATAAATAGCAATACCTTAGGCTATGAGGATGTAAAACCAAATAGAAAAGGGAGGAGTTCCTTCAGTTTCTTTTAGGAGAATGAAAGGCAAAGGCCCAAAATACATTGTATTAATAGGAGGATTTTACAAAGACTTTACCTTTGTTTAATTGGACTTAAACATATGGGAGAACCGATGGTTGAGATCCTTCCACACTTGAATAGAGTTTTTGGATTTGAGTTTTTGAAAATGAAAAAAATTATGTTGATTTAACACGTAGCTTAAGAAAGTAAAGGACGTTTAAAATCTTGTGGTAGTAAATTAAAAATATGTAGAATGTATCAAACTATCTATTAATCTTGTTACATTAAAGATGTCATGTGGAAAGTTATAATTTAAATATTGCTAAATAAGGAAAGAAACTTTTTTTTATCAAATGAACTAAAAGAAAAAGTAAGACAAACAAATTAAAATAAAGAAAGTTATAAGTTATAATTGATTAAATACATCGACACAATAGCAATTATTGTTATGTCTCATTCTCAAATAAGTTGACGTCGATTATATAAACTTCGAATGTTTGAGCCAAATTCTATTACGAAACCTATTTTTGTTTATTTATATATTTTTAAATTGGAAAACCTGCTTTTTTTTAACTTGATCATTGAAATTTACATATTTAAAATTTTAAAATTCCAAAAGTGACATAAGCAATGACTAGAGATTGAAAGAGATATGAAATGCTTTCTGCCTAACCCAACTTAGTTAATTTTAAATTAGTGACGGAAAGGAGTCCACTTTAATTTCATGAATTTTACAATTGTTTGGTTCATTGAATAATGGTATTAGGAAAAGTGAAAAATATGAAGAATAATGGTGTATTAATGCATCTGTAAAATAATAGTTGTCCACTATACAATTTTAGGATGTCCAACAATACTTGTTCACTTTATTAAAATCAATAGATAATTTTACACTTAATTTTTAATTTACCCTTATCATTAATTATAGTCATTTGCCTATTACATTTTTCAAGACATTGTATTTAATACTCCTTCCGTCCTTTTTTATATGTCACATTTTTACTTTGCACTTGCATTAAGAAATGATGTAACTTTACCCTTCTACCCTTATTTTTTTTTTTTGAAACTCAAGTTTTTAATCAATTAATATGAATTAATTTATTTTGATTAATTAATTTAACCAATGAACATGAATCATTTACTTAGCTTTTCTAAGTTGGTTAAATGTATATTTTCAAGGCTAATAACTCACAAGAGTAAAAAATGAACAATATGATAATTTATGCATTGATTTTATGAAATGACAAGTATTATGGACCGATTATTTATAGAAAAGGATGACATATAAAAAGGGACAAAGGGAGTATATCCAAAGGGTGATATAGTAAATTATCCTTTCATTTATAGTTTTTAAAAAGTGTGCAAAGTCGATCAACAGTGGACAACAATTGTTGGACAGAGGGAGTATATTCAAAGGGTGATATAATAAAATTGGCTTTCTATTTATAGTTTCTTAAAAACTGTGCAAAATCTATAATGAACTAAGTATTGTTGGATTGAGAGAGTATAAGATAATGTGTTTTCAAACTCCTTGGTTGTCACCATTTGTGATTGTTTAAGAACACTTGATCACTTTGACCGTTTTCATAATTTAATTTATTAATGCTAATAATAAAAGGGCAATCAGAGTGCTTAACATATTTAAGAAGAGTAAATTTTAGGTTTAGCCAATATAAAAAATTATATTTGTATGCTATAGCTATAGTTTATATAATTGTGTTCCATAGCAAATTTTATGTTTGCTATGGAGCTATTAATTAACTTGTATATTTCGGTATTCATTCCAATTGTATAAATATAAATTTGGAATTTGTATATAATTAAGAAACTGACCTGGCTGTAAGTTATATAAGTATATGTTTTTTTGTTGTGATTTCCAGTCGTATATGTATATGTGTATTATATATATTTAAATATAAATCTGTATATGTATATGTAATTGTATTTTTGTATATATATATATAGTTTGTATACAAATATCTCTCTCGATTTATACAAACACAAATTATACATTGTATTTTGTATAATTTGTGTTTGTATAAAGCAAGAAAGAGAGAAAGGCAAAAGAGATCAACTGGGCAGGGGAAGATTGTATTGTATAATTTTAAGTGTATAGGACGAAGAGATATGTATTTGTATATACAGTTTTCTCTCGCTTTATACAAACACAAACACAATTTCTACATTTGTGTTTGTATAAAGTGAGAGAGGTGAATGACAAAATATTTGCTACGAATTAGAATTAAATGAAACCGTGATTATAGCATTTATTTTTGAATTAATAGTTTGTTATTTCATACAATTTTCTCATTTAAGAATGGGAAAATGCATAAGTACCCCCCCCCCCCCCAGCCTATCCCCAAAATCCCTGAGACACACCTAACCTTTACTAAGGTCCTATTACCCTCCCAAACTTATTTTATATATAATTTTCTACCCCTTTTTGGCCTACGTGGTACTATCTTGTGGGCCCAACGCGTGTTGACAATTTCTTCAAGGATGGTGCCACGTAGGCCGAAAAGGGGTAGAAAATTAATTTAAAAATAAGTTTGGGGGGGGGGGGGTAATAGGACCTTAGTAAAGGTTAGGTGTGTCTCAAGAATTTCGGGCATAGGCTGGGGGGTACTTATGCATTTTCCCAATTAATATAAGGAAACACAGCAAAGTTATGTTAAAACCATGACCATCTAGGACAGGACAAATATATACATAATTTTGAAGAGGTTTGTAAAATATGATTATGATGTTACTTGTTTTCTTTTGTAATTAATAATGTCTTTTCTACTTGATCTATAACTTTTTAGTGTCACATTGAGTATATCATATATATATGAGTGTAATGTATATCACACATAAAGTTACGTTACGTATATGCAAAAATATACATGAGATACATGGATATATATAGAGATATACACATATAAAATCGTCAAAGATGCTTCAAAGTTTTTTACTTTTTTTTATCAAAGATGCTTCAAAAGTTATATATATATATATATTGCAACAACATCTATTCAATTTAGTAACATTATTGAGATTTCAAATTTTATATTCAAATTCACATTAAAAAAATTAGTTAGTTTGATTCTCATAATTTGAATCAGGATTCAGGACAGATAAATTGAAATGAAAAAGAGTATCTCATGATCATTAGCTCTATATACAAACATGTGCATGCACGCATGTTATCAGGAATATAATTTGAGATTATAAAAGAAGGATAAATATATGTATATTGTTCTTCGAAATGAACATTTTTTTTGTTTATTTTCTCAATTTTTATGTATTAGCAAATATTTGGTGAATGGATATCTAATGTCTCATTTGTTTGCACTTAATCAATGTCTGAATATTAATCATTTAGATTCAGCCCATTAAATGCGTTTAGGTTTTGAGAAAAATACGCGACTAAGCAAACATATGTTAGTTAATTATTTAACATAGGTTTGAAGAAATTACTTTTCCCCACGAACACATAACCATATTTAGTGGGTCACGTCCAGAATTTGTAAATTTGGTTCCTAATGGTATAAATTCAGAATTTGTATAATTCAGTTCCTAATTGTATAAATTCAGAATTTGTATATGTTTGCCTTAGCTATTTGTATGCGATTTGTTTATCTTGTTTGTATATAATTTGTTGATACATTTGATTTGTATAAGTTCTGAAAAATTTCTAAGTGTATAAATACACAATTTGTATATACTTACCATGTTTGTATATTGGCAGACGAAATATACAAACGGAAATACCCATAACAAATGAAACTATAGCTATGGAGCGTAATTAGGCAAAATGTAGCTAAGGAGACTTGTTAAGTTTAATCTCTTTACGATTAATGAAATTTTCCCTTTGATTTCTGGGTTTGAATCTGAATCTGAATCATTTAGATATAGCCCATTGAGTATATTTGTTTCATTTTTGTAAAAGTCTCTTAATGGAATTGAAAAGATTTGAGCGAATCAGATATGCAGGAGAGTCCTTAATAACATTCAAACTTATTTAATATGATGTAAAATAATTACATCTCGTCTATCTTTCTCTTTGCACAATTTTGTTCTCACTGCAGCAAATTTTCTTCCTCTCTTTTCTCAATCAAACGCCTTCTTTTTTTTATATTAATAATTTTTTTGGGGGTGTATTGATATTTATCAAGAACTCTTGTTGCAATAACATTTTTGGTTTATTGACCTTTAACAAGGTTTTTGAGTTAAAAAAAATACTAGTCACGATTAAAAACAATAACTATGTATACATATTTGAGGTCTCTTA